ACCACTAAATCTTTGAGGGTTCAGGTGCCCAGGCTTCCCTAGGGTAGATAGTGCAGGCTTGGGCCGTGTATAGAACATAGCAGGGTGTAGGACCCAGAGCCATTCCTAATGGTCTGTGGTGTGTCCCCTTCCTGCCATCCCCACCACCAAATACATATCCAAGGGAAACCAGATTCTCATGTATTTCATGGGCTGTCTTAAAAGGAAAAGGAGATCACCACAAGGCAACAGACGGAGCCCTGGGTTCAGAACTGTCTTTAGACCCAGTTTCGTTGTTCATTGCTCATCTTTGGCAAATCACTTCCCATGTCTTGGCTTCAGTTTTTCCAAATGTAAAATCAAGGGGATTGGATTAAAGGATCACTTAATTCCCTTCCAGCTCTGACATTCACTGTTCTGGGTCCTCTGATGTCTGATGCTCTTATGTTCTTAAGATCCATTCCAATTCTGACATTGTCTGTTCTGAAACTTTTACTTTCAATTCAACTAAATGAACGTTGATTAGGCACCTGTTGTGTTCAAGATGCTGTGTCAGGAAATACAAAGACACAATTGAAAACAGTCTTTACCCTTAAGGAACTTCCATTATACTATACTGAGGAAGGGAAAGGGGAGAACACAACATCTACCTAGAGAAGTAAATGGAAAGTCATCTGAGGAGACAGAACCAACAACTTGAGGGGATTTGGAAAGGCTTCTTGTAGGAGGTGGCAGCTGAGCTAAGCCTTGAAGGAAGCTAAGGATTCTGAGAGGTGCATGTGGGAAAGGGAATGCATTTCAGACCAGGGACAGATCCTGCAGAAGTGTAAAGATGGGAGGGAGACTGCCCAAGATATGAGCCCTGCTGGCTAAATTCCATACAGATTGCGAAATCTCAGCTTTGTTTTTTTCTGTCATTAGATTGCATTGTGTTATTTTTCAAACCTTTTTTTCCCATGAGGATTTTAGGGATTGCTGATAGTCATAAAAACCAAATAATGGCCTTCAAAGAGGTCTCCAGTGGAGACACAATATAGTCTGTAATGGAAGTGGAAATAAAAGAAGTTACAGGGATAGAATGATTTCTTTATAGTCAGTATCACCCAACGATTGAAGCCTTAGATGATGATAATAATCTCTTCTCTTTGTAACATTCTATGTTCTAAGGCCCCTTCCAGCCCTGACATTCTTTGTCCTAAAGTCTCTCCCACCTCTGGCATCCTATGTCCTAAGGACCATTTTAGCAAGTGTTATGGGAAGAGGGTGCCTTGGATGATGGGCAGGCCCTCAGGAGCTTCCAGGCCACTAGCTGGGGGGAACCACCCCTTCCCCATAATTGATTTCACTCAAATGCTCAAGGTAGAAAAACAAGTTGCTATGCAGATGCCTTCATGGTGCCAGTCAACAAATATTGACTGAGCACTCAGCTCTGGGGAAGTAGGACCAGGAAGGAGACACTGTCTCAGGCCTTAGGGGTTTACAGTCTAAACACACACCCTAATGAAACAATGATAAAACAAAAGGAAACAGAGTAATAATTAGGTACTAAAGAGTGAGATACATAATAAGGAATCTGGAGAAAAGTATGTGGTCAGAAAAAAACTTTCTGGAGAATATGAGCCTCCAAAAACAGTGCCCACTGTGTGTTAGTGACAGTAGGAATGGACTGTACCCATCTCAGTCTTGAAGGTTTCCCAAGGAGCCCGAAGAACCAGTCCTTGGGCCATAGGAGGAGTAGAGGGCACTGCTGCTGCTTCTTCCTTTGATAAAGGGCCGGACAGGAGAGCTACTCCACCCAGGTCCAGGTAACCACCCTTCCTTCTCTCTGGCCTGGGTTTAGGCTCCAGTGGCTTACTCACCTGAAGTGCTAAGTCCCTAAAATGTCAGCTCCCAAAAGGACTTTGAACCGTTAAATGTCTGAGCTGGAAGGGCCCCTAGAGATCATCTTGTCTACCCTCTTCATTTCACACGTACAGAAATGAGACCTAGAAAAGGGAAGGGACTCGTCCAAGGTCACCCAGTGGGTCATTAGAGGAGTTGGGATTATAATGAAAAGGCCAGTGTAGTAGTGGTAAGAGTGCTCTTCTCAAAGGCTGGTGAGACCTCGGTTCAAATTCCGCCTCAGACACAGCTCATCTCGACCTCTCTGATCTTCAGGTTTGTCCCCTGTAATATGAGGATAATAATACCTACACTGTCTAGCTCACTGGGTTGTGAGGACCAAAGTAGTTTGTCCAGCATTCCACAACCTTAATAAAAGTCAGCTCTTGGTGTTAATTCGGGGTTGTGACTCCTATCCTGGGATCCCTCCCCAGTGCCGGCCACACACGCTGCTTCCTCTTCGGTATGCAGCTCTGGGCAGGGCTCCTCAGGAGGGAAGCTACAAGACCCTGTTCTCTCCTGGGAGATGTTGAGGAAGAGGAGGGAGAGCCCTTGTCATTTGAAGGTGGGGTGGGGAAGGGGACGCTGGAAGGGAAGGGACACCCGCCCCAGAGATCCCAGGAAGAGAGAGAAGGGGCAGGAGCGGGAGAGGAGGAAGGAAGGAAGAGGACCAGGCATCAAAGGCTAAGGAACTGCTCACAAGAGGAGGGAGGGTCACACCTAAAGCCTGTCTGGTTGCCAACGGAAACCAGACATGAGGTAATGGCAAGATGAACTTGAACTTGGGGTGGGGGAGGGGCCGGAGAACCAGGCTCAGGGAACAATAGTGCGGGAGGATCAATGGCTGAGCTGATTCTCTAGGTAAAGGCTGGTTGGAGGGAGCAAGATTGCTTTCGGTGGGGGCGGGGGGGACCCGCAATGTAGGAGCTGAGAGGAGGGCTCGAATTTCTGTTCCTCAGTTGACTCAGGGGTCCACCCCTTGTTAAAACTGGAAACTAGGCTTTGAGGCTCTCCGCTCCCCATACACCCCACCCCCCAAGCCTTGCCCCCCTACCCTAGCAACAAACTGAGGGGCGGGACCCAGAAGCAGGCTTGCTTCTCCAGCAGACCTGATTGGTCGCCCGACTTCCTGGATGGCTGCCTTCCATCTGACTGTGCGGCCAGGGCCAGAGGTAGAGGGAGGCGAGAGGTTGCTTTTAAAGGAATCAGGTCCGAATTGTGGCCCCCACTCCCATCCTCCGCTGGGGTCCCTCCTCTCCAGCAGCTGTTGTATCTCTCTCTGGGAACCCCAAGGGCGAAACAATCTCTGGAGCAGGGCAGGGAGTTGGGGACCAGTGGAACGCTGAGACTGGACAAACCGCCGAGTGTCTGATGTAGGGATCCCTCGTGCTGGGCAGCCTTAGCCTACCTCTGGATTACAATCCCTCCACTTGTCCCATTTGGCCCCGGAGAGGCTTAGGACAGGGAGGGGCATGTCGTGATCATAGAATGCTTTAGCCCAGAAAGTTGCAATGATACCATGCTTTGTGCTAATCGGCTGTTAGGATAATCCTTTGTATCACAAGAATACACTGAATTATGCTACAAGGCTGACATGTTCGTGATGCCGCGTGCTTTTCTACAATGTGGCACAATAGTAGACGATAAGAGCAAATCACAGTTGAGACAATGTTCCATACTGAGTTTGTCATGATAATACTGTGTACCCTTAGGATACAATGTGATGCTACGGTATGATGCTTTGTGCAAAACAGATTATTCACAGTGTTTAGTAAACTTTGAAACTAAAGTAAACATCAGCTCGTATTGTTATTTGTGCTTAGGAAGACCTTAGGAAGAGGTGTACCCACCTCTGACACGTGCTGCGTGGATGAACTAGGGTAGGTCACTACTTCTCAAGGCCCCCAAGCAGCTCCTGCGTTCCTTACTAGAAGTCCCCTATGCCAATGAATCGTATTCTCTCCCCTATCCTGAGGATCAAATGTGTCATCATGTAATATAGGGTTTTGGAAGTGTAGTGTATGTGTGCATTGTGGAATAGAAGAGTCAAGAGACCTAGAACCTCAGTGCTGAAGCAGGGCAGCTGTCTAATAAGTAGTAGAATCTAGGATTGGTCTCAGTGTCTCCATCTGTAAAATGGAGATCATAGTACTTGCCCTATCTACCTACTGGCAGCTAGATGGCACAGTGAATAGAGTGCTGATCCTGGAGTCAAGAAGACCAGGATTGAAATCCTACCTCACATGCTTACTAGTTGTATGACACTGGGCAAGTCATTTAAGCTTTGTCTGCCTCAGGTTCCCCATCTATAAAATGAGGATAAGGATAGTACCAGGGTTGATGTGAGGATTAAATGAGATAATATTGGTAAAGCAACTAGGTGGCTCAGTACATAGAACCCCATGTTTGGAGTTAGCAGAACCTGAGTTGAAATTTGGCCTTAGACACTTGCTAGCTTTATGAATCTTAGAGTGCTATATAAATTGCTAGTTGTTATCGTTACTACTTACCTCCGAAGGGGTATACTTACCTACAAAGAGAACAAGGTGAGGTCATGGGGAGAAGCACTTCAGAAAAGTTAAAAGTGTAACACAAATATGAGGAATTATTATAGGGTGTGGGTGTAGGTATATGTACAAAGTGGGCATGTATTAGATGTTGGCTGTTTCCTCACATTTGGGAATCTCAGAGATAATAGACACCTTAGAGATCAAAGGCAGTGTGGAGTAGTGGGAAAAGTCCTGGTCTGGAGCTGACAGTCTCCCCCTTTGTGACCCTGGGCAAACACTTTACCTCCATGGCCCAGTTTCCCCATATACAAAATGAGAGGGTTGAACTAAGCAATTTCTCAAGTTCTCTTATAGTTAGAACATCCTATGTTCTAAGGCCCCTCTCAGATCTTGAATTTTGTATTTGATATTCTGTGTCCAAAGGGCCATTCCAGTTGGGACCTGGGTTCTGGGATTTATTCTACCCTCCCACCTAAAGAGTATATCCACAGGTATGCCTGTGCTCCCACAATGTAAGAATAGCACTGATCCTGTGATCTGGGATCCCACTGAGGTGGGTGCCTGAGACACAGCTTATAACCCCTCCAACCCCTTCTCTTTTGTCCACGCCCTTCCACAAATTCTCCACAGGGCATCCACCTAGCATGCTGGGGGCCGTCTTTTCAATCTCCTCGCCTTTCAGGGACACCAGTGGAGCGTGCAGGCAATCAGGTATACCTTGCCCCCTGTACTTGAGGAGTCCACCTCCTTTTCCAGTCATTCATTTATCCGATGGCATCCCTTATGCCATGCCCATGGGTGGCATGCTGCATCCTACACTTGCTGACCCTGCTCCCTCCATTGCCCTTCTGGTGACCCACAGTCTTAATTCCATGACTCCCAATCATGCAGCCTCACCAGAAGGATCTTAGTTTTATAAAGATGGGCCTTTGTATAAACTAGGCCCAGAAGCCTGGGATCAATTTGCCAAGGCCATCCTACTCCTCCATTCTAGTCCCATTGCATTGGCCATTGGCATTACTCATCCAGGCTACATGCACTGATGGACCATCTGGCTAGGTTACCCTTACGACTATACCTGGTAGTCTTGCTGGTACATGTTCTTCATATAATTGATTTTTATCCTATGGGTAGTTAGACTGAACTTTTTAAAAGTGATTTTAGGTCTCCTTTCAGAGGCTGTGCAGAGTTCCAGAGTTTGATGCCATCAGCAAACAGCAGAATCTAGAGGGCCTCCAAATCAATGGGGAACCCTTCTCCAGTATGGACTCTGTGCTGGACATCTTCCATGATGATAGTTCAACACGTTTGGCAAGCATATGTATTTCTTGTTTTATCCCTCGCTTGATATTAATAATCAGAGGGTCACTCAGTAAAGCTATCTCTGCTGAGGTGGCCATGTGATATAGTGGGTGGTCTTGAAGTTAGAAAGACTTGAGTTCACATTCCACCTTGGACACTTACGAGCCATTTAACACTGGGCAAGTCACTTAATTTAGCCTTAGTTTCCTTATCTGTAAAATTAGAGTAATAATAGCACCTACTTCACAGAATTCTTGTGGGGATAAACTGAGATAGCATATGTATGGCAGTTTGCATATCTTGAAGCATCATATAAATGCTAGTAACTGTTATTGTTACATTTTTGAAGGCTATGATTTTTGATAAATGCATGGGAGACACTTTGTTGGAGGAGAGCCTTAAAGGCAACATTTTGCTGTATCAGATCAAATGTTGTTTTATAGTCAACAAACAATAAACATAGTGGGATCTTGTAATTTGTTACACCTTTCAGTCAGATGTGTGACTATAATGATATGGTGTGCTGTATATTATTATTTGCAAAACCTCGCCTGTTCCCTTCTTATACTCAAATCGAGATATATGTCAATATGGATGTAGACAATTCTCATGATTTTATATATGTGTGTGTGTGTGTGTGTGTGTGTGTGTGTATAATGTATATATAGCTAAGTGGCTTATTGTTCTTAGCTCTTCATACTTTCTTGGTCATCTTTTTTGGTAACTATCAAATCTGAGACTTTTCCTCTCCAATTTTTTAGTATTATTTCTCCGATACCTCAGAAGCAGATCCATTGGCGCTATGGAAATTGTGTCTTCTCCCCTTTTAACCTCCTTTGCATAAACTTGGGCTTATCCATCTATTCTTCCTAGTTTTGTTTTCTTTAGTGCCACTGATGCATCCTTATGTAGCATACCAGGGACTAGGAGATTCGAATTCAAATGTGGTTGCACCATTGTGAAAAAATGGCAGGAAAAGCTTATTAAAAAATCTGTACTGATCTCTGAATTTCCTCCTCTTTGTTCTCCCTTCAACTTTATCCTTAAATTCCTCAGAGGTTATTGGTTGGGTCTCTCACTGAGCTTTCTTTATACTTTTTTTCCTCTCCATTTCCCACTATTTTATGAGATAATGCTGCTCATAATCTCCTAGCATCCTCTTCTCTAAGATCTTATAAATGAGTCTGTACTCCGTCAGTGTTGTTATTGGCAATGTTGTAGGCCACCAGGTGGCGCTTCTTGCCAAGTGGAGAGATATAGCAGCTAGAGGGACGATAATAAGCACATATAGCCCTCACCGTGTGCCAGGCGCTTTCTCATTTGACCTTTGCAAAATCCGAGTTCATAGGTGCCGTTATTATCCCCATTTTACAGCTGAGGAAACTGAGGCAACCAGGGTTAAGTGACTTGCCCAGGGTCACACAGCATTTAAGTATCTAAGGCCAGATGTGAATTCAGGAAAATGAGCCTTTCAGACTCCAGGCCCTGGTGCTCTATCCACTGTGCCACCTAGTTGCAATTCTCATTGCAGTTACCAATTGTTAAAATTCACAATTTAATTTGGAGGTTCTTATCAAGTTTGTCCTAGAATTTCTGTAGGTACATAGGCAGCCATTTTCTTCATTCTGGCTGCTTTGCAATTGCTGATCACGAGCACCATCATAAAAGATGACCAAGTGTGCCATTATATTATGTTTCTTGTTGACTTCATACACATGATCAAACCAACTCTGCCAGTTTTTTATTTGCTTCTCCAAAGAGAACTCTTGGGTTCATTCCACCTTCCCCAGGTCTTATGGCTTCATTTTTAGTGAGAATGTCAAGTTTGATGTGGCACGTCCCCTCCGGTAATATGTTCTCCCTTTATGGATCACTGGATGAGGATCTCATATTTAGATGAACATCAGTTATGCTAATGTGTATAGATAATTAGCAAGCATTTATTAAGCACTTACTGTTGTACTGGCATTGTGCCAAGTAGTGGGGATAGAGAAAAAGGCAGAAACACAAAAAACAGCCCCTGGCCTCAAGGAAAATTCATAGGGGAGACAACATGTCAGTAACTAGGTTTGTGTTGTTGAGTCATCTAAGTCGTGCCACACTCTTTGTGACCCCATTTGTTGGTTTGTACATATAAGATAGATACAGAGTATGGGGCAACTAGGTGGCACAGTAGGTAGAGCACTGGACTTGGAATCAGGAAGACTCATCTTCCTGAGTTCAAATCCAATCTCTGACACTCCGTAGCTATGTGATTCTGGGCAAGTCACTTAACCCTGTTTGCCTCAGTTTCTTTATCTGTAAAATGAGCTGGAGACTTTGCCAAGAAAACCCCAAATGGTGGCAACACGAAGAGTTGGGCTCAATTGAAATGACTGAATGAACAACAGCAGAGTAGAAGGTAGAGGACTAGGGATGCAGGGGGAGGGGGAACATTAGGAAAGACCTCCTCCATACAGCAGCCTTTGAGCTGAGTCTTGAATGAAGCTAGAGATGTCAAGAGGCAAAGGTGAAGAGCATTCCAAGTATGTGGGATGGCTACTGAAAAAGCATGAAGAGAGGAGATGGATTGTTTTGTGGGAGGAACAGCCAGTGGGCAGGTCTTACTGGACCTTAGAATTCATGGAGGGTGGTAAAATAAAGAAGACTGCAAGGGTAGGAAGGGGCTAGGTTGGGAAGATGTTTATATGCCGGAGGACTTTGTTAGGTCCTGGAAGTAATGGGGAGGTGTTGGAGAGGATGCAGATGTGAGAGATGTGGTGAAGGTAGAGTTAAGCCTTTGGCGATGGATCCGCTGTCTGGGGTGAGCGCACGTGAAGAGTTGAGAATTCTTAGCTTCCTCTTCCTCACTCTAACACCCTTGAGAGAGGAGCAGTCGGTGGCTATTCAGGACTGAGAGCCATTCTGGATTGGTCTTGCTTTTTCAAGTTGCCATAGGCAAAGAGTTCTTCATGCATTGGCCATGCAAAGTCCTTAGGGGCTTTCCTTACTTGGTGAGGCTGTCCCACAGAAATCATAGTCTTACTGAAGTCAGAACTGCATAGCCTCTCATGTATTGGGGTGGGGGACTCTTGGGGTTGAGGCATGGTCCACTACTATCTCTTGTGTGTACTCCAAACTCCAGGTCCAGAAAAACAAAGCAAACCATGCCCTAAACCAGCCTAATTGTTGTGTGGATTGGAGGACCAAGGAAAGGGGCTGGCCTGACTTATGGGGGTCTTCCTCAGAGGCAAAGTTGTTACCCCATTCTTGTGGGGCCCTCCCACTACCCTTCACAATTGTCCAGCTTTCTTGCCACTCTCCAGTTACCTTACTTCCTGTTGGCTGCCCCCCCTCACCCTGCCCCAGCTGACTAGCTTCTTGGCAGGTCCTCCACGGAACCACAGAATGGCCAAGGGAAATGGGTCTTTCGAACATAAAACATAGAATGTCTTTACTGAAAGTGAATTTAGAAAACCAAATGTTAGAACTGAAAGGAGCCTCAGAAGTCATCTAGTATAACTTCTTATTTTGTAAATGGTCAACTTAGACACAAAAAGAAATGACTTAGTCAAGGTCACACAGTGAATCTGTGGCAGAATGGGGCTACAAGTGGAAAGTGAATGGTATGAAACATGAGTATGGAACATCAGAAGACAGGGGAGGGAGATGGCAGGTGAGCACTTTAGGGGAAAAAGAAGGAAAAGATGAAGGTGTGAGTATGAAGGAATATCAGCAGTTACTCTCCAGACAGCCTTACTTCATTCTTTTTCTCTCTCTCTTTTTTCTCTCTCTCCTCCAGTCCTGGTATCTGGGATAAACAAGGTTCTCCCCACACGTCCCTTCTCCTGTGTCTCGGGGCTATCCCGGGGGGGAGAAAGGCAGCCCCCCGGCCCACGTTTTCGGTGGAGAGCTAGTTCGAGTGAGGACGTCCTCCCAGCCACCCCCGCCAACATTCAACCTGACAAAAAAAACAAACAAACAAAAACACAACAAAAAGAGACAAACAAAAAACAAAGACGAAAACAAGAGGTAAGACAGAAAAGTCAGAGACTCTCTCCGAAGAGCGAGTGAGGTTCCGCGCCTGGCAGTCAGGAACATCGTCGCCCCGTCCCCCAGCGACAGACACCCCGGCCAAGGGACAGGCCCCTTGCGTCCAGCGGGCACTGCCCAGACGTAGGGCCCCGGGGGGCAGCCTATGCAATACGGTGTCTTTCTAATTTATTCATCTCCTCTCCACCTGCCACGACTGAAGAAAGGACCGGATGCCCAGCCTGTCCCCCCACCCTGACCCCTGCTCCTGTGCCTGCTCCCAGGACAGATGGCTGCTTGCTCCTGTTGGCATCGGGCAGGCTGAGGGCAGTTCCCATTGGCACCAGCGGCCATCCCTTTGCCCAGGGATGAGCAGATTAAACAAACAAACAAAAAACCGTGCTTTGGGTTAGCTCCCAGACCCACTGTCCAGACTCCTTAACCAGAGAGAGGTGAGCACATCCCTAAGGCCCACCACAGAGGGGCATCTTGAGGTAAAGAAACTGTACCAGGTGCATTCTCTTCCTCCCCATCTGCCATGACTGCAGACAAATCAGCTGATATCCCCTTCCCCTGAACTCCCATTCTGGGGCCGGATTCTGGGGCAGCATTCCAAAGAGGCTGGTGCCCATGATGCTTGCTATTTGCCAAGGAGGTCAGGCAGCAACCTCCCATCTTCCCCAGCCTCCTGGGGATCAGGGTACCTGTCATAAGTGGCAGACACACCCATGGGGCCTAATGTTCTGTGTGTTGTAGAAGGGGTGAGGAATGGAGATGGGTACAGTAGGGTCTCTCCTGGTGCTTCCAGACATTATAAGGGTGGCAATGGTGGCAGGGGAGAAAGTGGCTCTCCAAGATGTTTGGGGAATCAAGGTAAGGGTGGAGGCCACTGACAGTGTCAGAAGGTTGGTTGGAGTGGCACAGAATGGGCAGGGCTTGGTGGCAGGGCCCCTTGGTGAGAGGGTTCAGCACGGTCCAAGCTAAAAAAAAAAAGGAGCCCCAACCAAATTCTGTTGCCCTGAAAGACTCATTGAAAACCCCCCATTTCATATACCATATATGGAGACATCTAATTTGGCCTCAACTTGGTTCTGGCCCACCCTCCTCACTTCTGTATTTCTATCTGACTGGGACTCATTCTTTCTTCATGCCTACCCCATTTGGGAGAAAAGGTCTATGCAATCAGTCCCACTCCTCCCATAGCTTGGTGCCCTGGAGCCTGGGACCTAGAAACTGAAGGGACTAAGGAAAGAGGTAGCCCACCAAAAGCCGTGCCCCAAAGCCTAATGCCCTGGGGATGATATTGGATGCGCTGCAAAAGATGCACTTTTGGAGGACAGAAAGGGAAGGGAAGCCACCATCAGACATACCCCTCACCTGCCTGCTGCTCCCAAGGCTTTAGTCCTACCCTGAAGGAGCTTGACAGGCGTCCCCAAGGGGAGAC